AAGTTTACTTTGTTTAAAGTCTCGAGGCAGCTGAAACTTCACATGGCTAAAAAATTAATTACTTTTTTTAAATCTTTGAATATTTTTTTTCTGAATTAAGGTCTACAATAATTTTACTCTTCAATTGCTTCTGAACTAAAATGAGGGAAATTGATAAAGTCTACAACTTTTTATTGTTTTTTTTTTATAGTTTCTCATAGGCTCATATTGGTGGAAGAAGGAGATTTAAAATATACCACTATAAATTTTTTTCTTTTAATTTCAGGCATTCTTGCTTGAGCGCGATTGACTCAAAAAAAAAAACCACACATAATTTTATATATATATATACACATATACAAAAATCAAAAGGTATATATATTTCATGTACATTTTCACATTACATGAAATATATAGAGAATAATGCATGGGCGCGCGTTGATATGGAGCGCAGCGAACGAGTGACATGTCGAGTTTAACAGGCGAAGAGAAATTCCATATCTACATGCAACCATGTATTAGTTTGTTTATCATATAAACACAATAGCCCTTTACTGAGAAAAAAAGCCGGCTTCATTAATGACTGAAAATAAATGAATCGACAATCCCTGAATAACAAACCTAGAGTGCGTTGGCGCTAACTCTTGAGATGGAAAAATATGTTGAATCATGACTTCAATATCAACAACGGTCGTAATTTTCAATTTACAAAATTCTCTTTTATTGGCTTTGTCCTTACCGAAAGAAGAAGTCTTTCAGGTAAACAGCCAAAATCGGCCAGTGGTAAATCCTCCAGTTGTTCTAATTCTCAGCCGAGAGAAATGCTAACACCAAAGCCACTGAATACGTAACTTTCGGTTTTTCTTTTAGTATATTGGTTTTCTTCCCCTTCTAGGAAAGTTTGAGCCTCACTGTCTGTCAGCGATACGGATCTTTTAGTGTTTTAGTGTTATTTAAGAAACAACTTGTATTGAGAATCGTGAGGGCTTTGTCATTCATCAACCTGACCGGGTGGCGCCAAAGGCGAGTGACGTGTCAGCAGCTGATTGGTTATATCAACACACGTGAAAAAATAAGATATTTTTTTACGTGTAATATATTAAAGTTCACACGGGATGTCACGAAAGAACAACGAACGGACGTCATTTATTCTATTCCTTGCAATAACTGTGACAACGAATACATCGGACAGACCAAACGTCAGTTTGGTACACGGTTAAAAGAGCACCAAAAAGCGGTTTTCCTTTGCAAAAAGGAAAATTCAGCTTTATTGGAGCATACATGCCTAACTAACCATACAATTGGGTGGGATGATTCTAAAGTTATCACCACTAGTCGGCGTTACCACCTGCGCCTTTGTTTGGAGGCTTGGCATATTAACTCCGCCCACGCTCCTTTAAATCGTGACGATGGCGGTTTGCTTCCTGACGCCTATTTACACCTCGTCAGAAAAAAGGCCCATAATTAGTGATCATATAATAGGACCTCTTGTTGCAGCGTTTAGATCACTCCTGATGAAGGCACTAGACAGGAGTGTCGAAACGTTGGGTCTATGAATTGTAACTTCTTCGGTTACATTCATTAAATCTGCAAACCAGAGTAGCATCAAACTATGTCTGTTTTCCACGTGTTTTATCTGACGAGCGCTTAGGTGCGAAACTCAGAGTCACAAAGAATCGATGCGTCCCCTTTAATTCTTTAACTTATGTATACTTAGCTCTACTACCACAGCATTTAGCACTAGGCTGCGTGCATCATATCTTAACAGTGCACTCGTGCTACGTAGGGCGCGTGCTTTATGGAAATATAATGAACTTGTTTTGATCAATCACGACACGCGCCTTTCTCTGCACATTTTATGATACTTGATGAAATCTCAATCCTGTCTTGCTTTTAAATTCTAAGCATCCGACACATTTTTACGACAGCAATTACATTATTCGCTCTCGATTTCATTGCATGATAATCTATTTGGGCTTCATCCTAATCAAATAACAAACTATATAAATTTTCAGCTCATAATCTGCTTGTACAGGCTCACCAAATATCATTATGTGCATTATGAGCGATGACCAGTAATTCATTTGATATCGACGGAAACGCTAAAGATTCCAAAACTACCGGCGCCGCGGTATTTGATTGAGTATAAGTACGGTATAGTTGAAAAAACTGATCTTTGCAAAACAAAACGATTCACAGATGGTCCAGCCGTTCTGTGATTCGAGAATCTTACATTACTTCCTTTAACAGAAGGGCATTATTACAAGCAAATTATATCCAGGTCTCTGTTGATTAGTGGTACTAACAGCCTTGAAAATTCTGAAAAGGAAAAGAAAGACAATCGGGTGAAAGGATAATGGAATTTGGCACTTCTCGGGGACTAGAAAGGAGAGGGTAAATTTTTGTGTTTAATAATTTTTTATGCTTCATTATGACTTACGATCAAGATGAGAGATCATTTTGTCCACATATACCTTAGTATAAAGACGATCCCTTCAATGTTTTTTAAGACTCTGTATGTGGACTACCAGAAGTAATTTTTCAAACACCTCGCGTGTTGTTGATAGAACGTTTAGGTATGATGATATTCTTCAAAACTTCAAACCTTTTCAAAGTCATTTAATTAGATTTCTCTCTCAAAATTCCCAAAGCTCTAAAAC